CGCACTTGTCTCATTAAGCAGAAATACTCGGTGCCTTTAAGTGGGATCATGTTTGCAGTGTTCATAATGCACAACCATTTGAATGAAGTGTGGGGTTTAGAAAGGTGTTCTTCCCTACTTCAAAGCAGTCACCGATTTTCAATCATTTTAATCTGGCATAAAACCCACCTGCATATACTTCAAACTGCCTTGCGTTTGGTAATCTATCACAATTATCCTTATGTCTGTTTTTATTGTTGTCAAAGTTACATTATTAATGGCTGGTTGTACAGCTGTTGAGTAGTTTGAATCAAACATTTTGCTCCAACTAATGTAACTGCAACAGGAATAAAAGCAGACATAGACATGCTGCTCGCTGTGATGGATTGCCTATCTCAAGCAGGTTTACAATTTTAATCTTGGGGGCATTCATTTTGTTCCCTGTTTGTTTTTTTATGTCTGTCCAAATGGATTACTGGGTGCATGCAGGTTGGAAATTTCAACTTGGAACTTCAACAAAGAATGAAAGTAATTATTTGCATGTCATTTTTGGTTTCAATCCAAAATGCTATTTACTATTTTTGGACAGATGTTGCTACCTGGCAATGAAGTGAAAAAACACCAAAAATAGGCCTTTTTACAGCAGACATTTAGACTTGTCATAGTAGGTAAAGTGCAGGTGTTACTAATAACATTAACGATGGATTCGTTCTCACTGTCACAGCATGACAGTAAGCCAGCATTCACTATGCCAGGACCCTGAAACTGAAACAGCTAAATGGAATTCAACCATTATTTATTTTATTATTCAAACTTGTGCTTGTCCTAATGTGACATGTCAAAATCTCTCAAGTGAAAAAGGCCTCTGGAAAAAGGGACCTTTTCCATCAATCCACTATGAGTCACTATGGGAAAGTGGGTGTTTTGTTTACAGCAAAACTCACATATTACAAAAAGTCACAATAAGTATACTCACATATCTACAGAGTTTAATGCCTTATTGTTCGATACAGTTAAGCTCAACTGCGAAATAGTGCCTGTTACTGAGAATGAGGAGCTACTGTTGCTATTGAGTCTCATATTGATTAAACCTCTATGATCCAGTTTCCTCTGCGTCTCTGTCTGCATATTTGTCTTTTTTTGTCTGCTTTCTGAACCAGACAAAAATGTATCACAGCACATATGACATACATCCGTACATCACAAGCACTGCACTGGTGCATGAAATCACACACACACACACACACACACACACATACACACACACATTCACACACACACACACACACACACACACACACACACACACACACACACACACACACACACACACACACACACACACACACACACACACACACACACACACACACACACACACACACACACACACACAGACACACACACACACACACACACACACACACACAAGCTTTTTGGTACTCCTAAGGCTCTCTCTATATCAGACAAGCCCCGGTCTGGTTCTGTGGGAAGCTCTGCATGAGCTGTCTGGACATTCTGATTGAAGGAAAATCTCATTACAGATTAGCTGAAGGCAAAAAATATGATTAATGCCAAGAAGGGACAATGGATGATCCTCAGTCACATTAAGTACATTCGTATGCGCACAGATAATGTCCCAGCAGGACTGAGGAGAGGGTTCTTATTAGAAGTGCCCTCCCTTCCTTCAACACACTGACCAACCAGAGCAAGCTGGTATGTGTAAGGAACAGAGGAAGTAATCATGACTCAAGGTCAATTTTGTCTTTCTGGGTCGGTGCAGAATAGTGTGTTTGAAAGCAACTGCATGAGAGCCAGGATTAAAGAGAGCTTTTGTATGTATACGAGTGTGAGAAAGACAGAAATGGACCTCAACAGATGACGTCATCTTTTCATTATGGTGTCCTGAGGGGGAATCAGGAGATATCAGTTACATCCGGTACATCATTCGAAAGCTAGCCACGAATTGCTGACAAGGGTCCTCGCATAAACGCCACGGTAACGCTTCAGCCCCCTGCTTCTAGTCTCATAGCAGCTAAATGTATCATGGCAGCATATTCCATATATAGCCAGTTCACCTTTGAGGATGATACTGCAGTGACCACTGATATAAAATAACAGCCCTTTTACAATACATACTATGTGTATTTTTAGAGCAGTGAGTCATGAGCAGGAACTACAGCCTGGAAATATGAGCAGGGATAAGAAACTATCCAAATCATTAGGCATTATCGCTGCATAAGTTTCTGCTAGCGAGGTTTCTACACAAACATTACACCAGGGGGTCAAATTTGGCTCATTGCTTATGAAATTAGATACATTCTCTGTAACTTCTTGGAATAACTCCAGCAGCAGCTTAAACACCTCATGAAATTTTTGAGGATATTTTCCCAATTGGAGATTTCTGAGCCTCTAGCCATAAAAAAACACTCTACAGAGAGCTCACTCAATTAAATGAGATCCCTCTTACATCCTAGTCCATGCTGCCCTCAAGTCATTGATTCAGATGTTCTTTATTAAGCTTGATTATATTTATATATAACTGTACATTTTGAAGAGTTTGCAGGAACCTTCACTCACTACAAGGGCTTATGTAGACCACAGTAAATGCGCCAGTATGTGTGTGTTTTAATACTCTAAAACAGACGGCCACAGTAAAATGTGTTCACTTAATTATTATACTTAGTCAATTCATTTAAAACTGATATAATTACTAGATGTAATTATCTAATTTGTATTAACAGCTACAAGTTATTAGGAGAATTTAAGCAAAAAAGTGGGATGAAAAGTTTTAAGCATGCTTTTAGGCAGATTTGCAAAGCACTGCATTACCTGACCTAACTGTGCCAGAGGGTTTGTTACACAGGATATCTGGGAAGTTGTCATTTGAAACTGTTTGGAAAAGGGCAGACATTTAAAAAAAAAAAAAACACTTAGTAGTAGTAGTACATGGTCAACCTCTTACCGAAGCCAGTCGGGAGAAGAGCGAGAACATATTTTCCATTCTCAATCGAGAAAAGCTTTTAGTGCCATTCTTTGCTCTTCTTTCAATGAAGAAATACTCTCCTGTTCTGATACAATTGGTGCTAGCAACACTGTTGTTTTTGAACATACACCTAGCATTGAGGTTAAACCATGCCCGTAGCTCGTGTCATAGCTGCCAGCGGTTCCTCATAGCATACTGATTGGCTAGAACCACAGTGGTTCGGACACAAGCGCATAACTTGACGCCTGGCAAGATGAATTCTCACTTGATTTTGTGATCTCCTGAATCCAGCTGCCTTGCAAGGGTATCATTACCTGCTCTTGGCAGAAAATTGGTGATGTGCAAGGACCTTAGTGTATACTGTATATGAAACACTAACTTATTAAAAAAATTGGGCAAAAATGCAAACAATATTACAGGTCCATACTTAAGCTAACGAAACCATTATTTTCTTGTCAGACTTTTTCCCCCTAAACTCATGCAGACAGATGGGTCACATAATGAGGAACAGAGCAGAGAGTTAGATTTTTATCTGTGAAACACAACGTGTCTCTGAAGACAGGGGAGGCAGCGAGGCCTGTCTGTCAGCCATTGGCAGAATGAATGATCCCTGGCCATAGCACTGCTCCCCTGCCATTACCTAGATGATATTTCTCCGCTGCTAAATGTCACATCAATATTCGCTGCCAGCTAATTAATCTCAGCTCCCATGGAACCTGGTGGCATCTCACATCCTGTTGGAATACAGATGGCTCCATAGCTGGACCTTTGCTCTTAACACACATTTGCCCGGGGCACTCATATGGTGCAGTTCAAACACTGTGCAACCTCATGCATCTTGTCCTTCTTAAAAATGTAAGAAGGTTTCACTGAGAAAACTTTATTAGTGAAGGCAGAAGCAGCACAGCTTGACTTTTATTCGATTGGAGGCAGAGGGTACTTCAAGGATAGATGGAAAAAGGAAACGATTTTTCACAGGATGTTCTACAGGAGGATTTGAGACTCCAGTATTCTGAGCTGTGTGTTGGAGGTGAGTGATACCCTCAGTGTTAGGATGGTGACGTGAGGTGAGTGGGTGACTACTGAAGACGAACAAGGTCGAATCGCACTGTGTCCCTCCTGTAAGCTGGAGCACTGGCAGAATAAAAGGCTTATGTTGTTGACAACTGCAACTGTCATATAATGGATGTCTAATAGCTTTTGACCCTTAAAATCCCATTAATGACTACATTTCTGGAGAATAGCTTTCCCATATCTAATCTGTGATTGTGTGCATGATTGTCCATGTATCCATAAGATGCCATTTAGAGCTATGAGTTACCCTCAGCCTGAATATCATATGAGATATTAAAGTCTACTATGTAGTCTAATGACAAGGATTTGGCTTCTCTCCACATACTTCACTGTGGAATTGCTTCTTTCCCAGAGGTATATATTATAAGTAATTTTTGCTATTTAAGTCATGACATTGAGGACTGTGAAAGTATTTAGGCCCCAGGTGATTAAGTATCATCATGCAGTAAAACCTTGTTGCTAAGCAATATTAGTTAAAACCAGGGACTGCATTCATAGTACTTAGTGAATTTGCTCAGTTTTTGGTGCAGGGGTTTCATGTCCACTATTAAAACCACTAACTGACATTGTGCATCATTGTAGGCTAATCGTCAATCGGTTGTTTTAGCACGATGCAGTCATAAAGCAGTGGCAATGCATCTACAGCTGGGGTTGCTGTGGTTAGTTGTTGAGCAAGTGGTTATTCAGAATTTTTCTGATGGCCTTCTAATGACCGAATGTGGACATATCTTCGGTTGTTGTTGAACATATTTGTTTGAGCAATCATTTTCTATGTTATGCCATGTTAAATAAATAGAATTTAAGGTATTTAGAGGAGGAAAGATTCCTGCTATCCATGCAATTGCATTGTTACTGCACTCAAACAGTATCTCCAGCTCAGACAAGTTTGCTGGGGGTTTAGTCCAATCAGATTGCGGCTCATTGCAGCTCAGATAAGAATGCAGCACAGCTCAGTGCTTACCTGTCCTACATAGACCAGCAGCCTGGCATTGAGAGGGCTCTCATCAGGGCTCAGCCAGAACTCAGAGTTATCATCAGATGATACAGAGAACTGGAAATCACCTGGAGGGGAAAAACATGATCAAAGAGTGTGTTAGTGAAAGTAGATATGATCCCAGTGTAATCAGATAGGACATGACCTCATAAAATAGATTATTGGGTGTAAAAATGCAACAAAAATTTGACACCCAGACTGCCTCTGGCAGTGGTCATAGATGACGCATTTGGCCACAGTGATATTAAAAGCATTACTGCAACTGAATTTCCAATCCATATGTAACAACCATGTGAATCAGAAAAGAACACTGCACAGATCTAAACTAGAAAGAGTACGGAAGCAAAAGAGCAACAAGTAGAGTTGGTTAATTAACATAAGCTAAGTATAAAAGTGGATAGTCTGGATACTTGAGGATTGTGAACAAGTTGTCAGTTTTGTCTGACAAAACTATTAATAGTAGTACGTTTCCCTTAACTGATGCATGCCTTAAAGCTAGGGTAGGTAATGTATTCCAAAAGCATTTGTTATATTTGTAGAAATGCTCTACATCCCAACCGCAATAAATAAATACAATGTTCTAAAAAACATCTATGGCAGCCAATCATTACATTCAACCCTAATGATTGGCTGGCCTACCTGCCTGTGCACTCATTGCGAATAAGAATGCATTTTGAAAGAGTAGTTTTCGAGGAAGGTGAGGTCAAGATGCAGGTTGTGTGACAATGAGTAATCTTGAGTTTTTATAGTCTGTAATTGGAAAAAGCTCTAAGCCTTTCTATGCGGCTTAGCTTAGGTTATTTAACACTCAATCAAATAGCATAAAAGGTTGTGCTTGGCAGTGTAAGGTGAAGGGCACTTGTTAGAGTACTTGTTGGAATCCCAAAGACAGTACGACCTTTGAGCCATCAGCTGGAGAGAGCCATACCACAAGCAAAAAAGCTACATAAGAGAATGAAATTAACGGTAATCTAATTAATAGCTTGATATTCTGCAATTTGTGTAAGGGCCCTTGGGTGTTCAGGGTTTTCAGTTCCCATAGCAACAGGGCTCAAGGTTAGGGGTATGAGGGTACTGCAATGAGATTTAGCTGTGAGATGTCTGGCTTTCAGCCCTAATAAAAATGTGAATATCCACTATATTAGTGACTCTCAAGTGGTTGGATTAAGAGGGTTGTGGAAATTGTCTACTCTTACAGAGGAGACATGCTCCAGGGCCCTCAGCCTCAGAGGAGGGACTCACTAATAAGATGAGCTAGTTACCGTCTCTGTATGGGTGAAGGAAGCCAAATATTCTCAGGCCATAGTTCTTCCACTTTGGAGCCACTGCCAGCTTCCTCAATGTGGTTCTGGTCTGCAGTGAGAAACAGAAATACATTCAGATCATAGATGCAGCAGTTGCTTCAACAAATACAAGAAAAAAGCTTCAACAGACATTTCTATGTGAGTGAACCCTATCCACCAATTGACCATTTGCTAAACCAGCGATTCATAGTTTAGCAACTGTAATTAGGCACGACAGGCCTGTGAAGGACGGGATCTCTGCACTTGTTGATTACATGTGTCCATGGGGCTATAGAGTAACATTTGGTGTAAAAAGTATTTGGAGAGTGGTGGCTTATTTATGACAAAAAACAAAAATGCATGAGCAAAAGTACAAATGGCTTAAACCATGTGTTTGTCGGCTCAAACGTAAGTCTGACAGCTGTAGCAACAGCAACTGAGGGGACAGATGCTTTGCGAACAGTCAGTTTAATGTACCTTCAGTGTTAAAACATTTAGTTCACAAAAATAACATAATAGTAACGCAGCAGTAGTGCACTTACATGAGGGTAGAGAGGGAAGTGCAGATTCTTTCTGAGTTGGGCTATAGAGGAGCCACACCAGTCTTCAAACACATGCAGGTTGGCCTGGCCCTTATACTGCCAACACACAGAGAGAAAACAGGTTAATGCAGGCAGTAACAACAGCATTTCCTATTAAATACAGACAGGTAATGCTTCAGTACTTAAGCTACTGGAGTTCCCTGCTTGCAAGATTTGCACTGGTTTCAGTAGATATATTTTTGTGCTGGAATGTATGTAACTTCTCTCCACCATGCAGAAGAAAATAAATCTTGGTGAAACATGTGACTGCAGCGTGAAGATTCAAATATTCTCACTGTCCTGAATAACAAACGGTGACAGACAGCTCGTCGGGAGTATCAGGAGGGAGTCTGAACTGAGAATGTCTGGAGAAGTTTGTCAGAGCTCATCCCCTGCTCATAGTCTGACATTTGTCTGAATTATACAGGGAAATCACAGGACACAGCAAGGACAGATGGTGAAACCATTTTGCCTTGGGGTATAGTTTCCTTACACACACACTAACACACAGGTCTGCTCACATACAAGAATCGATGACTCTACAATGACTCGTGTGTCTTACGCTGCTTTGGACGTGAAGCATTTTGGGTCACATTTATTGTAAAAAAGAAAAACTCTACAGAGCAAGGAATAGAAGACCAAACAGTAAAGTTTATATTTGTAACTCCATGTTTAAATGCATGGTTAATTTACACAAACTCAAACTCACAAATCTGTTGCAGCTCAGTGTCAAGCCTTAGACGGTTGCCACAGTGATTTAATTACCTGCAGACTCTTCTCACTGGATGATCAACCAGCTGTACCAACACACACTCACATACTGTACACACAATATGCCATCCTTTCGATGCGTGACTAGCAGTCCCAGCAGGCTGCAACTGTAATGCTGCCACAGATATTTAGAACATCACACAGAAAGCTGGCTCCCCCCGAATGACTATGCAACGATGCAATTGGGTTCCCTGGTTGGATCAAAGCAAAAGCTGGCCTTACTCCGGCAGCATTTCATTTGATGAAGGTAGCCTTTCTGAGCGTAGAATTGAGCTGCTAGCTGTAACAAGTCTGAGTTGTCAAATTAATCAATCAGGAGGGGGAGTGCAACCTCATGCAAAAAACCCCCCCCCAAAAAACCAACCACATCCTGTTGTCCTTTCATCAGAGGGATTAGAAGGGTGGGACAGGAAAGCCTAAACACATCTCTGCTACTCTGCATCCATGTCTACATTTAAAAGGAGGAACACGTTGATGGAGGGTGCCATGCTCCTTCAGCATCATGCAGGCATTCTAACAGATGGCTTGACCCAAAGTGGTCCTTTTCATTTCCCTCCCAGCTCTGTACGGTCAGCTACGTGCGCCGCACACTGACAGCAGCGCGGCAATTACAGTTCATGCATTAACCATGAGATATTTTTGTTGTGCAAACATGTCAGTCCAAAGCAGTGGGACTACTGATTTTAGATCTTAGATGTTTTTTTTATGTGTACATTTTTGCCCCCTTTTCTCTTGTGGAAAGACTGATGCAAATGAAAAACAGAAAGAGAAAGAGATGGAAATTTGCAAGCTCGACAGAATCGGAAATCAGAGAAAATGGGGGAGTCGAAAAGATGAACAAGAATGTCTAATGCTTAAAAAAAAAGAGGGGCATAGCAAGGTTAGAGGGTATTAGCAGACGGGACAAGTTCTTGTGTAAATATGCCTTATGTAAAGCTTTTAATAGATTTCCTGTGGGTTTTAAAAGCAAACCCTTTTCGGCCTGGCACCCTCCTCACCCCTCCTCTTGTCAAATAGTAATAAGAGGGAAGCTTTACAAGTCTGTAATTATTCACACACACATATCCTTGTGTAGCCCTGGAGAGGCCACAGTCGGGCTTCTCCTGAGGGGTGCTTGGGTTTAATTGGCTTTATTTTGTGGGTGACAGCACTGCAAGATGCCTGTCTGTGATCTAGCCTTAACGGGATATGGAATGGGGCAAGAAGGAAGTTATTTTTTCTTCACCGTCTCTGAAACTCTGTTATCCCTGCTAAACTGCCTTTGCCTAGCTCCTGTTATGTCCTTTGGCTTTCTCCCTGGGAGTGCTGCTTGTCTCTCTGTCTCTCTCCGAAAGCCTTCAGTGCCACTATCCCTAATGTTGTCTACTCCTCCCTCTGACCTCTCTATTTCCTCCCTGTCCATCCCTCCATCTCTGTCTGTGTGCTGCCAAATGCCGTCAATTTCTCTACACTCTGTCTTTAGTTTCCCTGAGCTCAGCTGTCGGCTGTCAGTTCTCTGTGCTGTCTCTCTCTCTCGTTTTTTGTCCCCCTCATGATTCCACGTGGTGGGATAAAGTGGCGCACACATTAACAGTTTGTATAGAGGCGGTGACTTGCGTGCTTTTGGGTTTTGGGGGGTTTTCTAGGTTGTACTATGGCAGCTTGTGTCTTTTCAAACGCTTTTTGTTTTTATAACCTTGTCAGCTCACGTTCACATTCAGTAATTGGCTAAAGAAGAGACAGAATGACTGCTGCTGCCACCTTTCTTCCTTTCTTCCTTCCTTCTTTCCTTTCTACTCTCATTTGTTGTCTTCTGTAACTTAATCCAAAACCAGAGACAGACCTCCGTCTTGTCCTGCCACCATACACTAGTAGCCTAATCCACAGATAGGAGGAAAGGAGAAAGCATTTGTTTTCTGTACTTGCACCCACAATAACAAAATTCACCACCGGCAACATAAACTACACATACAGAAGCACTGGAGTGCCCAAATCAAACTAGCTCTGTCTGTCAATCACAATCACTCTGTCTGTTGTCTGTGGGTTTGATTAGAGGTTTCACTTGGGGAAAAGTAGTTCTGTGGTGAGCTGAGACAGCAGTCAGCGGCACAAAGTGGCCATTTGTCGGGCTAATTGTTTCGACCTCCAGGCAAAGACAGGGACATCTGATTTTGCTGATATCTGATAACCAGTATTTTCTATGGTCATTTCAGCTGATTGATATAGACATTTCTATTTTTCATTTTACTGCATTACAACCATGTGCCTTATATCCACTAGTAGATGGACTACTAAACACTCCACTGCTTCCAAGAGTCTGCAGTCACTCAAGAAGAGCACAAAGTGCAGTTGCATATAGTACGTAGAATGTAGAAAGCATGTACAATAAATAATATATGGCATTTGCGATTGTGTAAATAAAAGGGGGATATCTGCTCTCTTCAATTATAATTTTACAACTGAAAATAGGTAGATATCAACTTTTTACAAATGAAATTAAAACATTAACATGCAAATATCATTTGATATACAGAATATTGTCAAGTATAAAAAACTATCAGATTATTTCCCAAACTATTGCACCACTCTATATCAACAATTATTGAGAATAACAATACAATGTTAGAATAATTACCATTGCAACATAAACCCCCAATTAATGCATTGTTTAATAGATATCATAAAAAAGAAAATTAAAAAAAGATATTACTTAAAGAATCCTCCAGCTCACCAGTCAAAGTGCTCTTAAGCACGACACCAAGCTCCAGTCTCACAGATCTGTACATTGTAATTTTTTTTTTCAATCTTTTGTCCATTTGTCTGTTGTTGTCAGTCTCTCCTAAATCAGAATCCCTTTGTCCTTCCCTGTTATCTTTATCTCCATCCACCTCTTCCCTACTCTCAACACATTACAACAATTGTCCTATATATAGTCTTAAGCTGCCACAGCTTCAAAGCAACACACCTATAGGTCTGGCTGTCGTTAGGGGGAGATGGAAGGAGGCAATTAATGCTATCTGTCAAATAGGAAGAATGAGGCAAGAAAAGAGAAAAGAAAGAGTGGGCAGGAGAAATGACAGGTGCACAGGAAAGACACTGAGCGAGAAAACAAATGATTGAATGAGACGTTTTAAATTAAAGAGTGTACAGTGCACTGTTTAAGAGACCGCTCTAAACAGCACTGTTACTGTCTCGCCTATCTTCCTCAGAACACGCATTTTCTCCACATACCAACATGTCTGTGAGCTTGTCTTAGCATATCTCCATCTCCACAGCCCTCCACTCCAATATCTCCTCTCTCTCTCTCTCTCTCTCTCTCTCTCTCTCTCTCTCTCTCTCTCCCTCAACCATCTGGTTGCACTATCAACCGGAGCACAGATCAGACTTTCTCTTTCCTCTCCCCCTCTCCTCCGGGAGGCTATCTCCCTTTCCCGAAATCTGGTGCAGCCTTCTGCGTTTCCTGCTGGCAGCAAGGCACTGACAAATGGTAGCATGGTGCACCGACTGACGAGCAGTTGCACCAAATGACACTGTAAATCCCCTTTGGATAAGAAAAGTGAGACATGATGTTCCTGGCAAAGGCACACTGGGGTGTATACAATACTACTCAGCTCGCTCCCCCGGGGCATATACTGTAGGCGAGAGGGTATTAAAGCTCACCGTTGATGCATCATAACACATATGTATTGTGTTTTTTTTTTTGAGCTGAAATGCGAAAACGTAAGTGTTGAATGAACAATGAAATGATACATGTTACATGCGAGTTATTCCCTCTGTGGCTATTACAGAAATGTTACTGCTTTTTTTAAAATCTGAATTTCTAGAGGGCATTTTGAAAGTTTCTCCCTGCCTGTCTCGTCTTTCTCTGCCTATTAGTAATTTAGGAAAGGCGAAAGAAAAAGAGTGGGATGAGTAGTTAGGGACAGCGAGGAAAAGGAGGGTTTTCAAAGGTACAGAGGATTAAAAGAGGGGATTATATGGTGAGAGATAATGAGAGAACTCATTTCACACAGAGGAGAGCAGCAAAAAATGTAAGACAAGGTTCATATGATCTAGATTCCAGCCTCATCAACTGCTGTAATGAGGGTTTGTATAATCTGCCATCTGTCCTACAATTACATGTCTTCTGTCATGCCAGGGATATAACGTGAGGGGGATGGATGTGGCTGCAGCGGATACGTCGAACTGAGGAACGTGAGGCAGGGAATGGAGGTTTTTTTTTCTCCTGCAGCAAATGTGTCAATCACTCACTCAGCTGTAATGAGAGGCCGGTAACAGAAATCACATGTATGCCTCCTTGTTTTGTCTATTTGACTCTTTAGCATTTGGAGTAGACAGACGGATGGAAGAAAGACAGACTGAAGGAACTCCGAATATCACGCTTCTTCTCTGTGCGTCCTCCCCCAGTCTAGTCACTTACACATTTGATTGTGTGATGAAGGGAGGGTCGGAGACGAGAGAAAGATCTAATTCCACCTCCGGTCTTATTCCTTGCATGTGTTTTTTGTGCAAGGAGCCAGCTGTGAAAACTGGTCCCACCTGAGTCATGTGTCTGTGTTGTGCCACAGTATCTTCCTCACTTCTCTCTTGAGTGGTAAATAATAGGCTGTCCAAATCTGCAATACCACATTTCCAGCTTTGTTTTGTTTGTTTACAGCACATGAGCCAGAAACCAAGACATTTGAGTCCCAGGAGACTGTTATCCTCCATCTATCCTCCACTGTATTTGGTTTAACACCTTTTGAATATCAGATTAACATCACAGCTACATATTTATAGTACATCTGAGATGATGATTTGATTCATGTTAAATATATGCTCTCTGTGGATTTAATGAGAAATAGCAACATGTAAAGAAATCATAAAACTCCCACTGATACCAAAATCTACAATGAATTAACTAATCCCTCTTAGCATCACTTTCTTTCTTCTCCTGACTAAATAAAAAAATGTTCATTATGCTCAAATTCTTTCTGGATCTATGTCAGCTTTGCTGCAAATGACTGTTTATCCCACCATGCCTGGCTAATACTTGACTGTTAAAAACTGGGCCAGATCTCTTCCTGTTCTCCAAGCCATGTCAGTGTCCCTGACATGCCAGTGTCCTTGACAGACAGAGGACTACCACTCTACAGCTGCTGAATGTCCATGTTTATCCACTACTAGTCACCTCTGAGTGAGTTCACTGGCTGGGAATACTCATTCAGTCACTGGTGGTGGCTGGAAACCACCTGCTAGAACCAATGCAGGTTGGAGATTTGCCTTTTCTCTATACATTTCTATCTCTGTGTCTCTAAGGGTACATGCAGTACAGAAAATAAAGTCAGCAATCCTTTTATTTCACTTGTGCACAACAGCTGAGGTTTTTTTTTTGCCTGTGGCCTTGTATGAATGCTTCTGGATGCCCGTGTGACCTCTGCCAGTCTGTGACAGCTGGCATATGGCACCACTCTACCTCCACCAGCCTGAGTCTACGCCTCAGACCTCTGCCATCTTGGCTGTACACCAGGAAAGCAAGTTACTGCTGGTAATTAGGACAGATAGCTAGTGAGGAAAGCAAAGGAAGAGCTGCCGCACTCCATGATTTCTGACAGACTTGGCTTAGGCTTGACATGGCAGAAGTCTGAGATAAGAGAGGGAGAGATTTCATACAAGTTCATGGAGACGTATGAAATGTTTGGTAGAGTTATGCTAGATTTGCATAATATTCACAGAAACTAAATGGCATGTTGCTTTATGAGTAGGCTGGAAATGAGTTGAAGAAATGGCATGTTGACTTCTACAAGTGAGCTTTGATGCTAGTCAGGCCTAATGTAGTGGAAAAACTAGTTGGTGTGGATGCTGCAAAATTTATTTCCCTTTTGAGGCTGGTTCGCTTTTCCAATTCAAACCATAAATAAGAAATTAGGTTTGGTCAATGAAATCATGTACATGTCTTTTAAGTGCAAATACATTCTTTAATTTTAACAGTGTTCACATACAAAATGATAAAAAAGAAAGCACAGAAAAAAAACAGGATGTTCATAATAAAGCATCTCGCTGTGATCAGGCCATGGAATCCATTTACATTTGTGCAATTAGTCAACATGGTCCAGATTCAGATAGCTTGTTTGGCTGCAGTCCTAGCTTGGCTGTTTCATATCAACGTGACTTCTCATTTTCTAAGTAGCACTATTTTAAATTATGCCAAAAGCGTCATCCAGACATAGAATGCAAGCCCTTCCATATTCGGGCAAGAGAGGTTTCTAGGCGGGATGACAGATATCATCCACATGTGACAAAAGCCTTGTTGTGCTAATAACAAAGTAAGAAAATATGGAAGGATGTGGGTTATGAATATATTTTAGCGCTACATTTTAACTTGGATGTATTGTGTTGCTGAGACAAAGCACAAAGGCAAAGACAGGCTAACTCAAGACCGGCTCACCCAGGGAATTTTGCTGAGATAAAACAACAGCTACTGTAACATTATCGGCCACATACTGTGTTCAGCACCCCTGTAAAGCTGCCTTGTGCAGAAGATTACATGCTTTAAGAGGCCAGAAAGCTAAGAACAAGGCAGTGAAAGATAGAGAATCTTGTAAAAAAAAAAAAAACACACACACAGTATCGCTGCAGTCAAAATAATCTACTTAAAAATAACTTGTGCAACAGTAATTTTGTATTATACATCTCATTCTGTGTGCACAAACTGTTAGATTCTCCACAGTTTGTCTAGAACTTCACACTGTGGTGTTCAGCAGAGATAGTTAGACTTTACCCCAGGTAGAGAACGGGTAATAAATCATATTTTGAAGATTAGGCTTGCAGACACACACACACACACACACACACACACATACATACACAATCCTTTAATTAAACTCTGCTGAACAGGTTACAAATCTAGAGCCGCTTTCCATATCGCAAATCCGCTGCTTAATTGCCCTGTCTGCTGCTCCCTTTGTTGCAGCGGGTGTGTAAACTACATCAGTAAGTGAGCTGAAAAATTAGGATGAATCAAATCAACTTGTAATCTTCGAGTCATAGGTGCCTTTAAATATTACCCGCTAATGGCTTTGGATGAAATATGATCATCCATCACACAATAATTTATCATCATAACCGTAAGGTACATTTTGTTCTTCCGATAATAGAACCGTGACTGGAACTGAGAATGACTGGATCTCTATTTGACCTCAAATATCAACTTCGCTTAAAAGGACAACTCAAAGAAAATGGGAGTAAGACATCTGCAGCTAAATTATATTTCACAAAAAGCAAACATTCGAATACGAAGTCAGTGATGAATAAAACCATTTTCTCAAAGGTTAATCGCTGATAAAAGTGTGGTGTGTGCGTATGGGGGGGGGCTGATACAATTAGCAAAGCAATTGAAGGACCTCAATTTAATATTCCATATCCATCTGAAATAATGGAAGTAACGGGTTAAAAGGAAGATGATAAGGAGATGAGTAGCAGCCTGAGAAAGAGCAAACAAAAGTAAAAGAAAAGAGAGAAAATCATTTGTATTACCTCCGGTTTCCATGGCAATTTCTTGTGGTGCTGGCTAAGGAACTTCCGGATGTGGGCATGGTCTCTGCCGTCAGCCCCTCCTGTGATTGGCTCATCATCCTTGAAAGAAATACAGCACAAAATAAAGACACAAATCAGTCACCACAAAAAAAGAGACAGGTTTTTAAAAGGTCATACATCCATCTTTGGGTGACATGACTTTTCTCCCTATACGCTACATAATTGATATCTTGATGAGATAAAGTAGCATCATTAGTTAAAACCACAGACTTTTCTAATTTATGGAAGCATAGTGTGCATTACACACAGCTGAGTATACCACACACACACATATATTGTGCAGACCAAGCAAACACAGGGTTATTTCCCCATAAGGCTACTATTAAGACCTTGTGGAATCTCCTCTTCACCATGACTCTAATCCAGCGTTTGACTCGCCAAAGCCCTAATCTCCAACATACTCTAACCATCCACCCTGCCGGCCAAGATCTCCTCTCCAGGGAGCCTGAACTCTCCCCCCGATCAGGGATTTAGCCCGGTGCTCCGGCCAGAGCACTGCAGGGCTCTTTCTCTGTGGCCTGCTAAGAGGCATGTTAATGTTAATGCTGTGGTGTGACGGACAGGACAGAAGAGAGAGGAGCGCAAGTTCTCGGGCCAACTATGATGAGATAAAAGGCTCCCGGACTCCCAGAGGAGGAACCAAGTCGCAGAGCTGTTAAATGAGTGGCAAAACATCCTCCATTTAGCAGGGATGTCAAAGAGAGATATACCTCCACCAAAACACACTGGAGGGGTTTTCGGCACCCCTGAAATGAGGGGCTTTTGTCGAGAAGTCACCAGTGTTTGCAAAAGAATCAGGGGAGAAAAAATACATTTTTAGAGTGGATGAGGCAAAGAGACAGAGCTGTCGGATGCCAAGCCTTTGATTACTTTTTTAACTTCCAAGGGATCGAGATGAAGGAGGGCAGGGAAGGTAAAGATGAAGAAATGTGACAACAGGCTCCTGTCTGACACCAGAGGAGCGTAAAGTGCCGGATGTTTGTGCTTAACCAAAGACTCACAAACAAGCTCCAGCACTTTGTCTGACACATGCACAAAAAAATTGTGAATCACACATAGATCCACCGGAGGACACAAAATTCATATTGCATCAGCTGGACTCTCGCATGAAACAAAGAAAGCAGAAGAATAAATGTACGAGACAGGACTCCTGGTCAGTAAAATACAAGGGGCAGACAAATCATGAATTGTTTGGAAATGCTGGAAAACCTGATTTCAACACCTGCAGCAAAATGATATATTTTTTTAAATCATCATTTCATTACATAACAATGTATCTGTTTAGAATACTGAATCCTACTGTAGTACAGCTTGTACACATTTACATAAAAAAAAATTCAACGTCTTAATAAATGTAAAAATGAACTTTGATTCTTATCTTATCAGCTTATTTCTGCAACTATTTCTGTTCTGGGAATTCATACCATTACAGCTCTATTTCCCTATTAACCCTTTGCACTTTTGAGTGCGTCAGTAAGTTAGAGGTGTTGTTTTTCTTGTCATCAACACTGCAAAGCTTGGTGTTGGTGCCATTTCAAATAAACTTTAGACCTGAACTGTCTCACACTGTGTGCTTACTGTGAGCAATCCAAGAACCAAGAGCTTTATCTTCCTGCCTGCCTGTGTTGTCAGCTAATCAGCTTTCACTATTAGAACAGGTGTGATGACTGTTTGAATGATGATGAAAGATTATCCACGTAGGTAAAGAACTTTGGGATCTGCAGTTACTGATTGTGATTAAAAGTGAGAATGTTTTAGAGATAATATGTTGTCAGCCTTAAAAGCCCAAACTCTAAATCACTGCTAGGGTGTGGATTGTAATTCATACAGACACCACTTTCCTAAAGCGATGCCTCAGCTCGATCCAACTCAAAGTCTGCTTATCGATGCAATACTAAAAGGTACAGTTAAACTCATTGACCCAAGGTTGCACTGCATCCTTCATCAGCTGCATCTCTTTTTCCTCTATTGTGTATATCGACTTTCCACTTCGGCGAGATGTTGCCATTACTTATAGCACACTACAAATACTTGTAACATATTTGTGTGACTCATTACTTCAGAGTTACAATCTCTAATTTATAAGCAGATCTACATTTTTTCTGGCACTGGGCCCAGAACTGTGTTATCATGTTTCACTGATAATTAAAGTTGATGCTAAGGGGGGCCTGTCAGATGGCCTGTATTAACCATTGCGTAGAGGCAAAACTGGGAATATCAATCACACTGATGAAACTGACTATTTATCATATGTTTACATTGCTATTTACCTTGTTGACTTTCACTCAAATAGAGTGACAAATGGCCCATAACAATGTGGGCATTTGTTTGCTATGGCAGCGATGCATCAGAGACAGAAACAGTGAGGGAGAGTAGCACTTCATTACAGCTAAACTAAGTTGTTTTATGTATGAACACGCGTGGCAGAGGTTGTTAATCTCAAGAGGCTTTGATTGATAGACTAGCTGTCAAATCAGTGGGTGTCTGCCACTTACATCCATCAATCCCACCAGTCAAAAAACTCCTTCTAGTAGGTGCAAGCTTCCCAGTTGTTTCCTTCCAGACACCCCACGTTCACACTGCACAATTCAAACGGATGACCTTGCTGATCCTAGCCCCGGGAAACAGCTAGATCCAGTGTCCTAGAATACCAATGAGCTTAATTAATCTCCCTTATTAAACACAAACAAGCCCCAGTCTGCGGGGTGGTGAAGTAGTGGGAGGGGGGTAGAGCAGATAGAGCAGAGCTGAGATCTGGGGCTTGTTTCACCAATCTCTCAACCTCCCCCATCCACCCACCATGATAACTCCAGTGAATGAGCTCAGCCGGCTCCCAAAAGTCCACAAATCATAGTATCATTCCCCTTGACCTGCTGTGTAAAAATTGATAAGTAGTGTCGGAGTAATGACATTATTCTCAATTTTTCATTCATGTTAACCACCACAGAGATATACAGTATGTTAATTAGTCCCACCATAATAATAATATAGACGCTTCCCATTTTTCATCCTATAGTCTTGCTGAATCAACAGTGGCTCCTGGTCACTGGCTGTTTATTGTTCGTATTAATCCGTGTAGCTGGGAGGCAAAGATACCTGGGTGACATTTACTTTAGCAGTGACTAATCCCAATGATTCATCACCCAAAAGAAAAGCTGTGATGAAAAGCTCCCCTTATCTGTGATGGTGATGTTGTATGTTGTATGATTCAAAAACAAGTATTCAGATACATCATATTGTGCATCAGACAATATTGGATAAGAATTTATATCACCATAGACCAAACATTTCAAGTCTATGTGACAGGATGGCAGTGGAGGTGATGCATAAGATGAGATATTTCTACAGAGAGAAACAGCTTGATAAAAGAGAGGGTGAAACAACGAGAAGAGACAAAAAGAAAAATGGAGAATAAAGACATACAAAGTGGCAGACTGAAGACAGAATAAGCAACATGGCACATGACAGATGAACACAGACAAATACAAAAGAGAGAAAAGGTGAACAATGGAGCACTAGAGAGGAAAAAAGAGCATGACTGAGAGAACACCTTTGATAGGTAGTGCATAGTGCGTTGCCTCAGAAATCTCTCTGTCTGAAGCTACAGCGGACTGCCAGATTCCCTTTCCCACCTCTCTTTACTGAACAGACCAAACAGACCAATGTCTGCTTTGTTTCAGAGCAGTACCACAAAGCTCTGTGAAGTATTACGCACTCACCAGCACTGTGACTCTGTATGTGATGTGACCACAACTCAAAAGAAGGATTTTCTCTTCACAATTCTCAAGATACTATAGATACAGAGTTTCACTATACCTCAGAGGGTTAATGTAAGATAATAATAACAACTTGTTCTGTAACATCCTGATTCATCATGTCCTTCATTGAAATGTTTGGTTTATTTAAATAAATAACGTTTATCCTCTGCTAGGGTAATTCAAATCAAAGCTAAAACTGGGAAAAGGCGAGTTCTCATGGCCAGAGCTCACATCATCCACTTTACATTATACAAAACTCTGCAATATATCAAAAGATAAAACACGTGCCTCACATTAGCCAAGGTTGACTTCAGGGCTAATGTGAAATGCTGAAAAAAATGTAAGAATCTAATTCAAAAAAGGAGGGTGTAGGTGAGTACACTGGGTCAATCTTAATGTAATTCCTGACATGTAAGGTGCATTCTAATAATTGCATGGAATTTACAATATAATAATGAATACGGGACTTGATTGAAGAGTCATCCAAGCACTGTAGCATTGCAAAGAGTAGATGAAGGTCGACTTGTAAGGTTATTATTATTATTATTATTATTATTATTATTATTATTATTATTATTATTATACATGTTTCACTTGGTGGTGTCCAAGGGTCCAAGTAATAAAGAAAACAGTGCAGGGAACAATGAGGAAACCTGTGATTTGTATAATGCTCTGCAAGATGAACTAGGGGAAGGGAGTCGGACAAAGATAGCGTTGATGTGGCTCACTTTTATTTCTGTACTTACCTTAGAGGGCCAATTATGCCACCTCAACACAGGGAGGTTGAAATGTGCTGAACTACTCTCACAAGAGTCTTATGGGGATTCAAAAGTGTGTTTATACAAGTTCTTGGATATTATCATGGGAAAAGCAGCACTATAAGGCTCAAGGTAATCGTTAGAAATGTCTTCAGTGTGACCCATATGCACCTGGTCCTTAACTTACCACAAACACAGTCACCGTGGCAAAAGGCCTTTGATTCACACAATAAATGTACATCTCTTTTGAGTAGTTAAGTTATTGTTCTTCACAACAGAAGACCAGTAGTGCTCATAACATGGTACTTGCTACTTTCTTTTTAAAATACAGAAAATTAACACAACCATAAACATGGCTGTGTTAACTTAAAATTGTCTTTACTGTTTTGGAAACAAGGGAAGTCAATTGATGAAAGCTGGCCACTTTGATATATGTCCAACATTGGCACATCATCATACATCACATCAGCATAACTGAAATTTAATTTTTGCCTGCAGACTGCCATATGTTGATGTAGCTGTT